AAATAATAATTATTTACAATCACTTTCTATTTAGCGTTTTACGAAAAATACTAGCAATACATTTTCATAATGTAACATTTTAGTTTTACTACCTCCCAGGCGTTAGTTATGCATTTATTCAATTGCCTACACTACATTCTATTGAAACAACTATTTATATTCTAACCGTTTTTCAAACAGAAATAATTCTATTTTTTAAATTATACAGGGAGTTCCCATTTTCAATTCAATAACTTTAATAGTTGATAGACAACTTGATTTTGATTATTAAATTAATAAAATTCGTATGAACATAAATTGTAAACAGCTTGCCAACTTAGATACAGGGTGCCAAATTTATTTGGTAGATGATTAAATGAAAAGCTGATGTTCGTGCAAAATTGTTGTAAACTTTAAAGGGTTGTGAGTAAGTTTTGTGAAAGTTAACAAAATTTTTGTTGGTTCAGACAGACGTAGTAAGCGATGGACTTGTTTGGTGATCATTAGTTGTTAGTAACTCACAAATAAATAGAACATTGTAAGATAGAGAGTAGCGGTCCTGTATCATGACTTCAACCATCACCCGACCTTAATCCCCTTGATTATTTTGCCTGATGTCATATGAAACATCAGGAATACTCTTGTCCGATAAACGTAAGGGAGGAACTAATATAATCATACAAATTTCTGACTATCCATTATAGTCCAGTCATTATAGACATGAAAGAGCCTGTTTCGGGAAAAAATACTATTAGAAGTTTCTCTGCAGAATATTGTTCGGAAACCTGTTATAAATAAAATATCAAAAAATCAACTCGAGGCTAGTTGGGAAACTTTGTTTTAACAGTGGTCAAAGTTATGGAAAAGTGGTTTTTTGACTCACGTAAAAAAGCTATTATTCATAGCGAAAAAAAGTTTATACAAAAAAGGTAGGTATTAAATAAGCCTATAAAATGAAAAAAGTCCGATTAAATTCCGATAATTTGTTTATGCACAAGAGCTCAAAAATGGTCGAAAATTGCCGTTTTTTTCAATTGCTAATAATTAATGCAATTTTCATCGCAGACACTTGTAATTCAGGATTTTTGAGGCTTTTTACACCCTTAATAAGTGGTAAAAATTTCAGCTCGAAAGCTTCATTGGTTTGGCGTTGGCGGAATTTGTTATCTAAGAAGATGCTATTTTCAATTCATTTTTCCCAAGCTCACAGGCGTTGTAGGGTTTTGATCATTAGTTGTTTTTGTACCTAAATAGTTGTATTGACATAGGCATTTACTGAGAATTTAGTTTTTCAAATTTAATTTGTTTAAAATTGACTGAAAAAATGTTAATATTTATTAAATTGTTAAGATAGGTAATTATTATAAAATAAAATAGTAACCTCTTTACTTTAGTTTTCTTCGAATTTAAAAAAAAAATCGTTGTTGTAAGTTGATTAGAAGCTGAGATAATTTTTTTTATTTATTTAATCGCAGTGACCTTAATTATTAATATTAAGAGCCGAAATTTGGAGAGAGTATACATTAAGAGCTATATTTTCATGTCCTACATTAACATTAAGGTGAATTCAACTATTTAATTTCGAAAAAGAAGATAGCGGCGATGCGTTCTATTACTTGGTCTAGCGAACGAGTGGGGAAGGCGAGGCTTAGCATGCGCGCTTAACGATGTAATAAATATTAACATTTTTTCAGTCATTTTTAAACAAATTAAATTTGAAAAATTAAATTATCAGTAAATGCATATGTCAATACAACTATTTAGGTACAAAAACAACTAATGATCGAAACCCTACAACGCCTGTGAGCTTGGGAAAAATGAATTGAAAATAGCATCTTCTTAGATAACAAATTCCGCCAACGCCAAGCTAATGAAGTTTTTGGGCTGAAATTTTTACCACTTATTAAGGGTGCAAAAAGCTTCAAAAATCCTGAATTACAAGTGTCTGCGATGAAAATTGCATTAATTATTAGCAATTGAAAAAAGCGGACAATTTCGACCATTTTTGAGCTCTTGCGCATAAATAAATTATCGGAATTTAGTCGGACTTGTCTTATTTTACAGATTTATTTAATACCTAACTTTTTTGTATAAACCTTTTTTTCTCTATGAATAACAGTTTTTTTACGCCAGTCGAAAAACTACTTTTTCATAATTTTGACCATTGTTTTAACAAAGTTTCCCAACTAGTCTCGAGTTGATTTTTTGATATTTTGTTTATAACACGTTTCTGAACAATATTCCGCAGAAAAACTTCTAATAGTATTTTTTCCCCGAAAAAAAGCTATAATGATTAGCCTATTACGCCAGTGCATTTATTAAGCTCAAGGTCATTATTACGTAGATGCCAGTTATATGCCGAACAGAAAGACTACCAATTTGTATACCTGCTTTAAGTTCTGCATACTATTACATTTTTTGTAATTACAAATTGTTTCTAAATACCTGTTTTAAAATAAATAACGATATATCTATACAACAAACATTTTTCAGTTTCAGTTAAAATTTTGTGTGATTTTTATGTGCACTGAAAGGGATTCCCGCCGTTTTGTTTGAAATTGATCAGCGACGTCAAAAACGTCATAAAATTAAAAAAAAAATCATAGGCGTAGATATTCCATTTAAAAAACGGCACTGCCTATCCGTCTGCCACGCTACTGGTGATTGTAGTGAATCGTTTGTAGGTCATTTTTAAAGGATAGTATGTCGCGACAAGACATACTCGATTTGGTTTTATTAATATTTACTGTTTTTTAAATATCACGAAGAAAGTTTAAAAAAATTAAATGCGACACACTGCAGCTCGGTTGAGAAGCGATTTGCAACCTATGTTCATATAAACTTTTTTGTTCGATTTCGAAAAATAGACTATCCAAATGGCACTAATAAATTAACATGTATTTTCTTTTGAAGGTTATTCAATTTGGATGGATATAATTTACAAATTCGAAAACTAAAATAAATAATTATTACGCTGTTAAAGATTTACAGAAGATTGAAATCATCGTAAAATTTTACAGAACTTAACTTTTCTGTTTAAGTACCTACTTCTCTTCTCAACTAAGTATGCCATAATATACATACAACGTAATTATTATTACTGTAACTTCTTTACAAGCTTGTTTCTGTTTCAAGGAGGTCCAGTCAAAGATGCAAGGTTAAATAAAAATGTATAGAAATTATTACCCAATAGTTCTGTTTTTACGTATCTTCATATATTTAAACAAAGTATTATTGATTCATGACATTAACACTATTAACAAGGTATTCATTTTCATATGTAAAAAACGACAGAATACAAATAATGACGAGAAAATCTCTCCCAAATTTTATTATTCTGTAGAACTTGATATCGTTTAAAATATACCTCGCCATAATATATTTTCTAATGAAGGTATGCGAGGTGCGGTATGTATTTGTGCAAAAGAAAATTTTAATAGACGTCGTGCATATCGCAGGTATTCAGAAACTTACCCAAACAGGTTACAACCAGATCACAAATTATTTAAAAATATTTTTGACCGGTTAGGAGAAACTGTACCATTTTATCCCAAAAAACGAAATGCCCATCTAAAAACCATTACTCCAGAACAAGAGAGTGTACCCCTTTGACTTTACCTCAGTGCAGAAGTTACTACCTGTCGTTTTTCTAGCTAAGGTACTATTTTGCCTTCTGTTGTTGAAAAGCATATGTTAGGCCCTGACTTGCATTTCTTACCTGATTTTCTTAAGCCACTTGTCATTAAATGCGAAACAAAATACCTATGCGCTTTATACAGCTTATACTGCCTATTTGTACAGGTCCTTGGTCTTCACAGAGCCCAGATTTAAATCCAATGGATTTCTGTGTTCGGAGTAATTTAAAATGCTGATAATTTATAAAACACTCGGAATGGCCTATGACAAAAAACTGTAAGGGCTAACAATTTAAATTAGAAATGAAAAAAGTATTTGATATCAGACAATCCTTTATTTAAAGAATAAGGATGGGATTTATTATAATTAATTAAAAATAGCAAATAAATTGAAAACGGTTAAATTTCACATAAGTCTAATTGTGTAAAATTTGTGTAAAAAACTAAGAGAATAATATTTTTATATCAAAACTTTTATACATACAGTGAGAAAAATGTTCTGACCAATTTTTATCCACTAGCGCCCTCTAGCAACTAATGCAAGTCTGGATTTCTTTTCCTCTTCCAGAAAACTCCAGAATTTAACTTTTCAAAGCATTTCTTTGACAACTTTTTAAACATTTTAAGAATTTTGATGTCAAAGTTAAAACTTTGAAATCAACATTCTTGTATCTTTTTCTGTAGCTCAACTTTTGGACTAGTATTTGTGTGAGGAGATTTTCAATAATTTTTAGTGGTTGCATCAAAATTTCGACAATTTTGTTCATTGTAGGCTACACTAATACTAGTAATTGACAGTAGATGATGTGGAGGATATGAATGACATGATAATAATAAACATTCCTAATACAAAAACAAATACAGAGAAAACATTTGTTGTTGTCGACAAATTTAATTTAGAATTGTATAGAAAATATTTAGCACTAGGGTCACTGTTATCAAATAACCCCTTTATTTTATCTTTTTTCACCCCTGGCCGGGGGTTGAAACAAACAAAAATTACTGTCACTTATTGTTATTATATACCCTAAACTAACTTATATCAAAAATTCAGGCAAGTTTACTAAATTGCGATTTAAAGTCTCATTTAATTGGACTAATACCGCAAATTCTATTCAGAATAAAGTAAACACAGCAAATCACAATGTTAATGCAGAAAATAAACAAAACCAACCTGAAACTTGCAAAAACCAATTCAATTGTATTGATCACACAAATGTTATGTTCCTAAATTGACCAGAACATCAACATATAATAATTGTACTTTGCATCACTGCGCTTTCAAAAAAAATATTAATAACAAATGAATAACAAATTTATCGCTAATAAATGCAGAATGAGCTGATTATTAAATAACAGGTACGTAAAGATAGTAGCATTACTTACCCACTGTATATAATGAATTAACACAGTGCGCGCAAGGTCAATTGTCTGACGAGTCGAACGAAAAGCGAGTTTTTAAAAACCGCACCGCTACCGCAGTTCTGAGAGAACTAAACTAGAGATGAAAGTATCGCCGAGCACCTACCTCACTTATGTTATGAAATTGACCCACCTTTCTTCAATAATAACACCGGAAGGTAAGTTCAATGTCTGCAGTCCGTACTGAATTATTATGCGTGGTTTATTTCCTTTCCAAAGGCAAAGTGAACAGTCAGAAGTAAACATCTTTATTCGTAATACGAAATGACTTTCCTTACAGAGCAAGTATAATAATCGATAAGCTTGATACACTTTTATAGAAGAATTACAAAGAAAATGGACCTAAACTTTTGAAATATTGAAGAAAATTGAAACTTGTAGTTAGGTATACTTATATATTTTAACATTGGACATATTACCTAATTGGAATAATTTAATTTGTATGAAATAAATTTAATGATTACAAATGAATAAAATAGGCCGATTTTTTCGAAAATTGAAATTAAAGACTGCTTTTTACCATTGAACAGCTTTTCCTAGTAACTTAATTCCACATCTTCACAAATAAGTGCACTTCACTCTTGCACCATTTAAAGTTTGTTCAATTTTTTTGACCCTGTACAAGAAATGTTAAATTTTTGTATCCCAATCTTACTTTAACAACCAGCAAAAATTTTTATCAGGAGTAACTTTTTTCGATAAAATGAAAAATAAGAGTACTTATAATAATAGAATAAGTTTTTCCTATTCAACACCTTTTCTGTGGACATACTGTATATCCTCCTGTAGTCACTTACTAGAGTGTAATTAGCCTTTCCTTGGGGTTAGCTGCCTCCTACCGATCTGTTGCTCTAAAGCAACTTAGAAAATTTGCTTCTGTAAAAAATTCCCGACTATCTTGTATCCGCACCTGTTTAAGAAACCTTACTCTGATCTTAGAGTAATATTTGGCAACAAACAGTACATAAGTTTTCTGTAAAATTTGCTTTAACCACCCCTTTTTGCTTTTCTGAATTCCTTATTATATTCTATTAACATCAATTAATTGTATTCAAATGGTGACATCAATGATCGATTAGAAAACGAACTTCGGCTGTTTTACAGAACAAATAATACAAATTTTTCTATTCGGCCATTACCTACGAAATTATCCATTAATATTTCTATATGTAATTAGGATACATCAGTTTATTAGATTTTCTATTTCCGTGCGGAATTAATTAATACTTAAGTAAACATTAGTTAAATAATAGCATAGTGAATCTGAAAGTATGTACAATCCTATTCATTCGAATAAGTACACTTTTGAACAGTTTACTAGGTACCTACCTAACAAGTACCTTCAAGGCGATTGTTTTGATAAATCAAATTTTATTTTAGTCATAACTTAAGAAACTGCAAAAAGTAGTGATTTTTTTTTATTTAAAAGTTAATAATACCATTTTATAATTTAGCACCCCAGAACCCGATAGATGGAAATGGAATTCTCACTGTACCAAATATGAGTGAACTATCTTTAAAATTGTCCACGGTATACGTCCTTAAAAAATGTACTTAGTTTTTTCCTTTAGCGAAATCGTTAGCTTAAAAGCCTTCAAAGTTAGATACGTTTTTCCTTTTACATTTTATTATTATTTCTTAATTCTCGAGTAATTTTTTGTTATCTAAATGGTGATATTAATTAGGAGTACAAATATTTACACATTTATTGAAAATAAACAACAAATAATACAAGGCAAAAGAATAAGCAGAATAACACTGCAGCATTAAATAACTAAAAAAATATCTCGTGAGATAGACATACTCACAAATGTATAGAAATTTAGGTATCTAGGGTGTTATGTGGATAATAATGCTCCTAGGTCGGAGTGTACCGAGAGCATTATTATCCTGTAACACCCGTGGTGCTTATAAAGCTTAATATCCTGCTATTACATTATTTAATTCTTTTTTTACAAGCAGTGTCCCAGGACTTGTGGTAAAAAACTCATGAGTGAGTAGGTAGGATTAAAACAACGTCAGCACCATATAAACTTCCGTAATACTTAACTTTAAAAAATCTGTTTTTATTTATAATTTCTAAACTGTGCAATATTTGGAAGATTTTCAAATCAATTTCCAACCATTTTCAGGCAACATTCCCGTAGAAACTAGAACAAAAATGTGCTTTACGCACGATGGTGCGCCCCCTCAATTTTGTACCAAGCAATTAAAAGTTTAAGTGAACAATTTACTTAAGGAGTACCTATATTTGAGTGAATGTAATCAGTTTTTGTTTAATTATAGTCACAAATAATAAAATGTCCAATATTGAGTGAAAATGTACTCAATAATTTCACTCAATAGATTCACTCCGAACCTTTATTGCTTTCACTCACACCAATTTTTTTTCAGTGCACATGGTAATAAATAATTATTCAAAATAAAGACTCAATATAATTATTTATTTTACGCATCTTAATGCCTTTTATCTCTCAGTAATTATCAACAGTTTTGTTAACAATGCGGTCCCATAACTACAAAGAAAATGGCGGAGGCGCCGATATTGTAAACTGCCATAAAAAAATGGCGACTTTCTCTAAACCGGTACATTATAGAATTCAAACAAAAGCATATTTTCGTTAGTAAATAGTTTTAGGAAGAATCCTCCCTGTGAAAATTCTGAATTTTTACCATTGGCTTTCAGGGGAGAATAGAAATTTATTTATATTGTCAGAAAGGTCATACGTACCTACGTCCGTTGCCAACCACTAAATTTACATTAAATTAAACTGATTTTTTCCTAAATTTTGTCCAGACATTATTTTCGTAGTATTTTGAGGCGCTCAACACGGTCGTTAGTGAAGTTTACCTCTGACCTCGATATTTCTCAGGAATTCGAAATGAGTGCTTTTTTACATACCTGAACATTAAAAAAGTAATATCATTTTTTATTTTCAGGTAGGAAAAAATCAGTTTCGGCCCACATTTGGGACAGTTTTCACCCAAATAGTGGATTTTCTGAGAAATATCGGGGTCATGGGTAAATTTTACTAATGGCACTGTGTTCAGTATCTCAAAATACTACGAAAATAATATATTTTGACAGAAATAAGAAAAAAATCAGTTTTGACCCATATTTGGGCCAATTTTCACCTAAATAGTGGATTTTCTGAGAAAATCGAGGTCATGGGTAAATTTTACTAATAAGGTCATGTTCCGGGCCTCAAAATATTACGAAGATGATATATTTGGAGAAAATTTAAGAAAAAATCAGATTTGACCGATATTTGGATAAGTTTTTCCAAAGAATTTCACTTTTCTCCGAAATTCGTCTTAAATTCAGGAATTTTGATATGATAAAATTATATGCCTAACAGGGTCTAACGACACTTAGAGTGTACGATAATTCAATAAACAGAAATCTAAATAAAAAATTTGATAAATTAGGAACGAATACATTGAAGATCGGATTTAAAAAAGTTGATGATGGTCATGGAAAGACGAAACGTTACATATAAAAATTAATTATGCCATTCGATAGACGTCAAAAAGTTGCCATGAGAATGTGTTCTTGTTTTTTCAATATCACCTCAAACAAGGCTGAAATGAAACAAAAACCGATTTCCAAGAATTTCGTTTTATTTTTTCACATATTTCGAAAACTAATCATTTTAGCCTTGATTTTTTACAGACATAATGTTACTCCCCTGATTACGCAACTTTGCTCCCATTGAATCTAGTTTGTATCTCTTACCAATTAAGACCCCTGTAGTGAGAAGCGAATTGGTAACAAACTGTATATATTTATAGATAAATATCCTTCGATTAACTTGAAAATATATAAATGCCAATATTAAGAAAAAAGGCTACTACTGCTACTACAACTACGGATATATCAATTGTGGAAATACTTATGTAAGAGCTATTAACAGTGTCTTAATATCACAGACAATTTAGCTTGGCGATAGCTATTTTGTCTGTGTTAATACTTTTGAGACAGATATTCAGTTTCATAACATCTTTAATATCACTTAAACTAAAATGTCAACTGAGCTGTTAGTGTATCAAAGACAGAAATAACAACTTACATAATCCATCATATTTTTCCAATAAAAATATTTATAAATATGGTAATATGAATATAAATATTTCTTTAACAGGGAAATATTGCTTAATTTGTAGTTTATATCTACAGAGTAGAGCGACAAAAGATTTTTTAACATTCTTCCATTTTTAAAATTGCACCATATGTTTTTATGCTCATGTACCATAGTTTGGACCAAAACTAGCTATTTTGCCTTCACCAGTCGCGTATACTATTATTTAAGCTGAAGAAAATTGCACATCGGAGTTAATAGAATTTGACACGATTTTTTAAATGCCCAACTGATTTATTACTAAAAACATCTCTTGTGTTAATTTCACTTAAAGCAGGAGAAACGCCACTTGTCCGGGGTATTTAAATTATTAAACCTGCAGCTGTAATTGAATCAAGTAGTTTAATTAAAAGTTCAACTTTTTTTCGCAATATTTAACGGCCTGAATCTCAACTATATAAACAGTGATCAAGCACGTACGGCTACAAAACCATTGGTCGAAATGAATTGAATGCCAATACTCGCCAATGATACGTTTTCATACAGAACTGAACGTAAAACATGTAACTGACATCCCACTTCCGATAATCACAACCGTCAATGAAGCAATGTAGCATCCTAACTACTCACTGTTCAAACCAACAAAATTCAACCTGATACTGTCTAATCTAAAACTTGGCTATTCGTTTTGTATTTATGGACACATAACGCCTTGAGGGCAGCGTCCAATTAAAATTATTAGTGTTCTTTGAGCTGGGAGTTAATCATGTTAGGAAAAATAGAAAATTAATGTTCACAACTCGGTTCACAAAACACCTATAAAAATAAATAGGTACATATTTTCTTACGATGAAATAGTCCTAGTGTAAAAAAAAGTTAATTGGGCACTAAGTAACTGTCGTACACATTTCTGTAAAAGTCGCATAACAGAGTTCGTTGTTAGGCAAACATAATTCGGAACAATGACTTTACATTTTTTACAAAAGTTAATTATTTATAATTACATTTTC